TTTTCTCCTCCAAAACTCTCCTCTTGTCTTTTCTGTCAGCTGGGTGGAGGCACTTCTGGAGTTGCATCCCTGCCGCAGTGGCGTCCCATTCCTCCCATGCTCTCCTGCAGCAGAGCTGCTGCCTACCTGGCAGCTTTGGGTGCAGGTGCTGGCACCAGCTGATCACACACACACAGAAAACCCTTTGCAGAAATAATTTCTGTGCCTTACTTCTAAAAGAAAATCCAGCAGAGGGAGCCTCCTCCCTTCATGTCACTGTCCTGGAGAGATGCAAGAAGACAACCCAGCTTTGGTGGTTTCCGAGGTACCAGTGGGAGATGCATTTATTCTTCATTAAAAAGGTGGGGAGGCAAAAATTACCCAAAGAGAGAGAGAGAAGCTATGTCTAGGGATGAAAATGTTTTCAGCCTGATGGCTAGTGAAGGGAAGAGCCACAGAAAGCTGAAGGCTTGCACACTTTCTGCAAGCAAAAGGCGTGTGGCCCAAATGGGTATTAAAAGTGAAGAGAAACATTTGTCCCCACATTAGAAATAATACTGAAGGGATAAGGGCATTGAAACAGCTTAGTGCTTAGGCTCACTTGTGCCTTGGTGACCACATCTGGTTCCTGAGCTGTTCACTAGCTTCCACTCGCTCCAGCTGCCATGCGGGGACAGTGCTCTCCTGCCCTGGAGAGGTGACAAAGGCTCAGTCAAGTCTCCTGGGGAGGTGTTCTCCTCCCCTGGGACGGGTGATGTGCACGCAAGCTGCTCAGATCCACCTGTTTCAGTGTGTACCTGAGTTAATCCCATCACTCAAAGCGCATCGCCAAGGCTGCAGTGTGGGGTTGGCTCCAATGATAACAGCAAGACCTGAGAAAGTGGGCAAGAAGCCATTGGCTGGGCGATCACATCCCTTCCTTCCTGGGCTCATCCAGGCAGGAGGAACAGCCACACAGCCGCACTCCAGCAAGCTGTCATTCAAAATGCTGAAAAAAGAAACTCCTTTCCTCCCTCCTTGCCTCCTTTTCCTCCTCTCACCCTCCCTTGTGCTGCTCACGAGAGCTGAAGCTGTTGGGTACATTTGCACCAGCACCCCCCTCTCTCCACACCGCTGTGGCTGAGCACCCCTCAGGGCAGCACGGTGTCAGGGACACGGGACACTGAGATGTGCAGGGATGGTGCAAGAGGTGCATGGGTGCAGAGACACAGAAGCAGATGTTGCGAGCGAGGGAAGGAGAAATGCGGCCTGCCTTGCAGAAAGCATAGACCAAAGACCCAAGGAAACCACCCAGCGTTGCTCTCTGCTCTCAGCCTAGTTGAATACCTGAGTGCTAGGGAACAAGACCCATTTCCTCCATCCCTTGTCACATGGGAAAAGCGCTGCCTTA